GATTTGATTTGATTTGATTTGATTTGATTTGATTTGATTTGATTTGATTTGATTTGATTTGATTTGATTTGATTTGATTTGAGGCTAGTTCGGATTTTTCTTGGGGAGATAAATTATCATATTGTTTTTGGCAGTTGGCTGAGCAAGTTTCATTAAATGCTTCATCATCAAAAAAGGATTTTTCACAAAGTTTACAGAAATTATGGAAATAAACACTTTCCGCCCCCGCCCATGGTGAGTTATTTTCAGTTATAAACTTGGTAAACTTCCTTTTACAAACGGAATATTCTCTTTCTTTTATTTGTGGTAAATATTTATCTTTTTCCTGCTCTCAACAAGAAAGGCATAAGTAAGTTCTTTTTAAATTTTCTCTCTCGTATTCATATTTTCCTAAATCCACTTGGATAATTGTCCGGTGTCCTCCCGTATGTTGGTTGGCTCCAATCAAAGGGACTTCTTGATTACATTGGCTACAAGTTCATTTTTTATTTTCTGACATATCATATTTTTAGCAATGAGTTATAATTTTAATCAAAGCAAGAAGAACTTAACCCTTTGCTAATTATTCAAGCCGGAAGTATTTCATCTATTTTAGGAAAATAAATATATCTACCCTCACTTTTTAATTCAGGGTTTTTTAATTGGTCGGGTTTTACATTTTCGCCCAGTATTCTTTTTTTAGTGAGTAAATCGACTAGAATGCTTATTTCTCTTCCGTCATTTAGTTGAGTTATTAATTTTCCTCTGCTTACTCGACAATTAATTATTTTTGCTTCTTGTTTTTCGGCGGAAAAGGTAGGTTTTAGCCTTTCTTGCTCAATTTCTCTTAACCTTGTCATATATATTAAGTTTTTATTCCCGTTCTTTTTAATTCATTTTCTATTTTGTTCATAATATCGGATAAATTTTGCTGAACAAATTTTATTATTTTTGCGTGTTCTTTAACTTTTCCTCACTTTATTTCTATTTGACAACCGGGTAAATATACTCGTGCTTCTCCTACTTGTCCGACAAAATGAATGTGAAGCAAACTAAGGGGCTTGCTTTCGGGCGGAGCAAACTCATGGGGGTAAAAATAAATCCAGTATCCATTCCATCTTCTTCGACCATCATCAAAAATTTGCCCCATAGCCATTATCATGTTTCCATAGGGTTCCATAGGCAAGAAACCAAAGTAAGCAGGAGATAAGTCAGGCGAATTAGAATTTAAGAAGTTGTTGTCATTACACCTTTGGCAATTTTCATTTTCCATTATTTCTCCACACTTAAAACAGAACATAATTATTCTTTTTGGTGGTCTCACACTACAATTGCTTCGCTACTTCCATCTACTTCTCCATTTCTTTTTAGTAAAGGAAAATGATTAACTGAATAGCCCGAATATTTTTCTTTTTGCTTAAAATAGCACTGAACACAAATTAACAAGTCTTTTTTGGCTTCGTAATTAGTTAGTTTAGTTAGACTTAAATCTTTGTGGCAATTAGCACAGTTTCTCATAACAATTTTTTTACAGTTCATCCTCCCCTTCAAATTCTTCTTCCTCTTCGCTTTCTTGCTCTTTCTCGCTTTCGGCTTCTTTTTCCTTTTCCGTTTCTTGCTCCTTTTCTTTTTCGGTTTCCTTTTCGTCCTCTTTTTCTTGCTCCTGCTCGGGCTCGGCTTCCTGCTCTAATTCAGGCTCTTTTTCTTGTTCCCGCTCTAAATCTCTTTCTTGATTTCGGTCTCCGATGCCTTGTTCGGCCTGCTCTTTTTCAATCTGGTCTAAGTCTAATCCTTCTTCTATTTCTATTTCATCCTCAAATTCTCTTGTTTCTAATTCTTGGTCGTCTATTTCTTGGGTTGTGGTTCTTTGAGCTTCTCTAGTTCGAGTAGTCCGGATGGTTCTAGTTGCTTCCAAGGTAATTGTTCCACTATTCCCCGTAGCTTCAAAAATTACGGTTCCTCCTTGCTCGGGAATTTGACAAGGTTGTTCTCCGCTCCCGCGAGTTTTTAAAACTAATTTACCTCCGGAAGTAAAATTGTAAGTTTGCCGGTAACTATAATTCGGGTCGCCATGTGAACCACCTCCGCATAAGCAACCTAAACAATCCCTTCCGCCGCTACCTCAACTTTCCGGGTGAACTCGGTGCCCCATTTGATTTCAAATATTAGCATCCGGGGAGCCGATATAGTCCACAACCCCATAATCAGCATTAGTCATGTCCGCAGTAATTAAGGTTTCGCAGGTTTGTTCCGTAGTTTCAGTTACTTCTTCTTCGGCCACATAAATATCCCAAGCGTTCCCGGCACTTTGTAAAAACTCGTTAGATTGTTCATAATCAAAATTGGGTTTTTCTAACTTACCTCCGTCTGTTAAAAAATAGCCATTAAGCATTCTTTGGGCAAAAAACCCATTAAAATCACTCTCTAAATTTACTTCACTTCATTTTCAGTATCCTAACTTTTGGGCAAATTCTCCGTAAGCTGGTCATTGGATAGGAAAATTAAGTATTTTTTGCTTATTATTGGCTCATTTTAATCGGTTGTATAATAATTCACTAGCATGAACTCGATAGAAAAATATAGGATTAGTTAACCGATTAAAAAATTCTCCTAAACTATAATTAAAATCAATGGTGTTGCTGTTAAAAATAGCTGGTTCAATAGTTTTTCCTTGAAAGTCTCGAAAAGTAGATTTAAACATTCTTTCAGTTTGCTGCTCTTGTTCGGTGGTGCTATCTCAATTGGTTTTAGGAAAAGGATTATAAGCATCACTGTCCCACGCTACCGACCCCCCCAGTTCCCAAAACACTAACACTTAAACTACGCATAGCCCTTCCCAAGGTAAAACTTGGCTCAAAAGCCCCCGTAGTCTTAATTTCTAATTTTAGATTAACATATTTAAATTCCCAACGATAATATAAACTACCCGGAGCCGAAGAAATAAACATTTTATAAGGTAAAACAAAATGGTCTACTTTTTCCGGTTCTTGGGTTCATTTTTTTATTTCTTGTCCTTCGGCATTTTTGGCTTTAATGCCTAAAAAATCTCAATTGCCCGTGGTAATAATTTTGTTAAAAAGGTAAAACTGAAAAGTGATGCTGGTTTTTAAATGAGGTTGTTTTTTTATTCATTCTTGGATTTGGGGGTCTTTGGTAAATAATTTTTCCTCGCTGGTTTCACTGTGAGTATAATATCCTAGCCTTTCGCTAGCTAGTAATTGTTCACGACAACCGACTACTAAATAAGTTTTTCCTCCGAGTAATTTTTTTAAGAAGTTGCTAAAAAGGTTAGGAAGAAGTTCGGCTTCTCTACTTTCTTCTTGAACTTTATATTTATCTAAATTCCCTTCGGCGTCTTTGGCTTCGGCATACATTTTTTCGGCAGCCTCTTGGTCATAAGGAAACATAGTGATATCCGTGGGAATTCTAACGCTATTGTCTTCTTTATTAACGGCATAAGTGACATTATTTCGTCCGCGGCTACTGACTTCAAAGATAACGAATTTTGGCTGATATGTAAAAGCTTGCTCATAACTAGCCTTAATGCTTAAATCCGAACAAAAATCATAATGTAATTTGACATTTTCGCTTTGAATTGGAGATTTAATTAAAGTCCCCATTCCTTGTCCTCTCATCCAATTTCAGTAATAAACACTTAAAGAACACTTTTTAGCACGAATTCGCACGGTTAGTTTGTAATTATTAATATATTCAAAATAACTAATGAAATATAATTGTTTTCTTCATAAAATAGCCAAGTCAGACCGACCTAAATCATAAGAATTACCTTGTTCGGCTTCCCCCAAAATAATTCCTAGTAATTATCTCTATTTCATTATTAGCATTTTGAGTTATTCGGCAATTATACAAAGGAAATTCAGTTTCTCGTATTCACTTACAAGCCTGATTATACCTTTTATGGTTAGGCAAAAACTTATATTCTTTGGTTCATCAAGGCTTTCCGTTTTCGTCGGTAAAAATAATTACCGAAATTTTTTGAATTCATAATTCCGGATTAGCCCGAATATCTTCCGGTTTAATTAGTAAATTTGCTCCTACTCCCATACCTTACTTCGTCACCACCACCTTCGGCACCCCAAACCCAAAACTAGGCCACCCCAACTCACTTAAACTAACCACACTGCTTCCATCCACATTCTCCGTCCGCAATCTAGTCAAACTCAATTTCTGCCCTCCTCCATAATAGAAATTAAACCTATTCTCGGTCTCCTCCACTCTCTCAAACTCCGTAAAATTCTCAATCTTCCTCCCTAACTTAGCATAACCCCTTAAAGTCTTATAAATATTCTCCATATTGGCATTAGTTTGCCGTAAACCTCACGCCTCACAAATAATATACTTACAAAATTCCTCCGTCGATTGTTCACTAGCATACCTCGTCCGGGCATTCTTGGCTAGTTTTCTTTTTAGCATGTTCATAACATACTCTAACCTTTGCTGATAACTATACAACTCAATATTGATAAACTCGGCTCTATCTTGGACAAAATCGGGCACTTGGTCAGCATAATTGGCCGTGCACATAATAATGGCATCACTTAAATCTACTCGGTAGCCTAGGAATTGGTCATACCAGTCTTTATTCTTCTTAATATCCAAAACATTCCCCAGCATCATTTTTAATCCTTCATCTCGCACTTTTTCAAACTCATCCAGCAAAATAATGGCTCCTCTATTTTTACCCACGGCTAATCCTTGACAAATCCTTCCGGGGTAGGCAGCCTTAACACTCGGACTAACTCCTTCTAAAATTCCCGTATCACTCCTTCCGCCTAAATCCACATTAATTAGCGGTCTTTCTAAACTCTCGGCTAACTTTTCACTAATATAGCTTTTACCTACTCCGGGCGGTCCGAGTAAAACATAAATAGTCTGCTCGGTTTTTTGACCTTCTTCAATATCATCCGCCAAGTTTAGCAAATACATTTTCATTTTTTCTTTGAATTCGCTAAAACCCAGCACCGTATCCATCACTTCGGCAAATTTTCCTAAGGTGGGGACATTTAAATCCTTACTCCAAGCTTCAATTAATCCTTCGGCTAGTTCTTTTTGTTTTTCTATTCCGAGAGCCGTTAAAGAACCCACCGGAGCCTTTTCTTTCTCTTTACGCTTATGATAACGGGTGATACATTCTAAATAATAATTTTGCTGAGTAGGGGTTTTATGTTCTCCTTGGCAAATTAACTTCCATTCTTCTCAGGTGATATCCGGATATTGTTCTTTCTTTTTAGTTGGCGGTGAGATTTCTTCTTCCTCTTCATCATCCGGAGTAGATATTCACTTCTTTCGACCACTGGGCAAAGTAATAAGCTTTCCCGAAGCTCCGAATAATTTAATAAATAAAATCGGTAAGTTTTGGGGTCAAATTCAAACTTAATTACTTGTAAAGCACTTAATAACTTCCCTAATCAAGCCTTATCTCCTCAACTGTTAGTTTCCTCGTAAGTAGGCTGGTAAGAGAAAGAGCCATCATCGTTAACTATTCTTCTCCCGGCCGTTTCTTCTCTTTCAATAGCTTTGAGTTGCTTTTGCTGTTGTTTTAATAATTGAGCTCGGCCGTAAGTGTCGGATAGCATGTCTTCTCCTTGGGTATAAGGAATGTTTATTCATTCGGTAGATTGCGGGGTTATTTTGCTTTTTTTGTTGGTTTTACTGTGTTCGGTTTTAGAGCCTGATTTAAAGAGTTCTTTATCTTTTAATTTGAGCTGTTGGAAAATATTTTGGTAGAGTTCTCTATTGCGGCTGTAATTAATCGCATCAGTGGTCATTTTGCCAAAGAATTTGCCATAAAATACTCCCTCGTATGGTTCATAATGGCTATCTTTTCAGTAGTGGTAATTAATATGAGCTAAATTAGCCATAATGCTTCTAATTACTAGGTCTTTGTGCTGTTCGAGATAAGTAGTCCGATAAGCGGTTCAAAAGTTTTGAAAAGTAGGGTATTTGTCGGCAATGGTCGTCATTAGAAGAATTCCTCCTTTTTTTGTATGATATCTACTTTTTTGATACAAGTAGCACAGATTTTATTTTGCCGGTGGGGGTCAATGCCTAGTCCGTTTACTTGGGCTAAGCGGAGGAGAGATTTTTTATTTTGTTGGCAGATGTCGCAGGTGAAGAAGTATTCTTTGGGGGCTTTGGAGGTTGGTGAGGTATTTGCTGGGGTTTTAGTGGGTTTTTTTAGCTCTTCAATAGTTTTCTCATACTCGGCTTTTTCTTGGCTGGCAAGTTTGATAATAGTTTGGATTTTCCCTTCTAGTTTTTTTACTTTCTCGGCTAATTCTTGTTTTTTCTGCTCGTCGGCTTTTTTTATCTCTCGGTGAAGTTCAATTTGTTTTTGGAGAGCTAGTTGGTTATTAGGTAAAGGTGGGGGAGTAGGTATGCTAGGAACCCTTTCTGGCTTAGTTGGCTTTAAAGGAGCATTATCACTTCCGTAACCTTCGTCCCTTATCTCTATGGGGGAGGGTAAAACTTCCTTAGGCTTTGGTTTAGCACGGGTTTTCTTTAAATCACTAGGTTTAACTCCGGGCTTAACTTTTTTCAAGAGTTCTTTTTGGTGTTCGGTTTTATTCATGGCTTCCTCCTTGGGTTTCGGAACACTCGGAACAAGCTAAAAAACCTGTATGGTGTTTTTGACCCAGCCAATAACAGTTTTGAATGTTTTGCTTATGATTGTTCAGGCTGGTTTTTTTTAGGTTAAGATTATTCATGCTCTCCTCCCTTCTTCTCCAATTCGGCCACCTTGGCTTTAAGCTCGTTAATCTCTTTCTGTTCGCGGCCATTCTTTTTTTCTAACTTAATCGTCCGGGCATCCAGTTTTAAGCTATAATTAAAGAACATGGCCGGCATAGCCAAAAGAACTCCACAAAGGGCTAAACAAAGGTAAAATCAAGGTTGGCAGTTATTCATGCTTAACCTCCTTTTTTAGTTGGTTTTCTAAATGTTGGATATTATCGGGCTCGCTACTTTGTAGCTCTTCCACCTTCGCAATCTCCGCTTCTTGCCAAGTTCCGTAAGTTAGCTTATGGGTTCCTTTACATAGTCCTTTGCTTTCTACTTCCTTAATACTTTTTAG